GACCAAGACTGTTACACAGATGTCAGAATGTCTGGTTGACATCAGTGAGTATCTCATGACTCGTTGCCTTCAACTGACGAACAGACAACATGCAGCAGTCATCAGTGCGTACACCCTGACCCTTGATGCAGATGACTAAACCCAAAAATTCTATTCTATTCAACCTAGTCCTGTAATGTGTCCCAAAAGAAGATCACAGAAAGTTAGGGTTGGAAGGGACTTCAGGAGGTCACATCTAGTCCAACCCCTGCTCAAAGTAGGACCTTCCCCAACTCAGATGGGATCATTCTTCTTGGCAATTTCAATGCTACAGTGGACCAGCATTTTGTACAATGGAAAGGAACAGGAAGGGGTGGGGAAAGTCAGTTAAAATGGAATTCTTCTCCTGAGCAAGCATTAGAGATGTGATTTCATCATCATAAACTTCTTATTCCACCAAAGCATCATTTGTTACACTCTGCCCATTCATATAGCCCCAAAATGACAAAAGAAGTGACCAAGGACGAGGTTCAATATAGAATACTTGAAAGACCCTGCTAAAAGCAGTCATCTTCAGCAGTGCCTCAGTGAGCAACTCTGACCTTCCTTATGATCTTGGCATCATTGATCAAAAGGAGAGTCTCAAAAAGGCATCCATGAGGAATGTGAAGAATATCTAGGCTTCTGCACAAATAAACTTCAGGACATCTGATTTGATGAGAATGATATGGAAATACAAGCTTTCATTGACAGAAAAAGGAGAGCCTTTAATGCCTGGCAGAATGACATCTACTCCAAACAGGACATCAGCTCCAAACAGAAGCCAAGACATTTATCAGTGTGATTAATCACCCTAATCACATTTTAAATGTAACATGTACCAGGGCCCTGATTGTCTACATTGTCCAAATACAATCGAGTGATTTGGGGCAGACGGGAGCAGAATTTTCCCTTATGTTAAATTCTCTCAGTACATACAATAAAAAAAAAAAAATCTTCCTTTTTAATGTAAGATTTTTCTGTGCTTGAACAGGTGGATTGTTTTTCATGGGAACCTTTGTTAGAAAGGTGAAAAGCAAGAGACTTGCTTTGTTAGCCCCAAAGTACCTAGAAAGTATATGACAGCTCCTGTGTGTCAGATTTAAAGGGTTTCATATTCCTTGTCAGTCAATTCTGACTGATGATAAGATCTGGCATACATTCACCTGCTGAGCAGCAGGTTATTTGCTGTTTGTGCCAACCTCATTTAAACCACTTCATGTTTATGTAAAAGCATATCAGTCTTCTCTTCTAAGCTTCCATAAAGATGCCAGTTCCTTATCATCAGTTGCAATTAAACATTTATTCATATAAAATCAAGTGTACATACAGGATACAGCTTGCTCTTAAGAGCCCATTTTCTGGAACTTAATACGTGCCTACTTCCCCATTCTTGCTGTACAGAACATGTACACAGTATACCATGGTTACAGAGTGATATTTTATGAACACAGATATAGAAAATTTGGCAGAAGAGGGTCAAGACTGACTTTTCAAACATGAGTGAGCAACAAACAATGCACAGAACAGGGCTCTTTCAAGCTCGCATGAAAATCTTTTCAAACAAAACCTGAACATTGCTGTTGCTTGTGTCTGGTGGTGCAGTTTGTAGAAGGGACGCAGCGCAACAGACATCCTGTAATATACAAGGAAACTTCTTTTGTCTCCATCAGGCATTAAACTTCCTGGACCCAACATTTTTATTTGCTAATTCTGATTTTAGCCAGGCTTAAAAAGATGCTCTCAAATTAAAAATGTAATTTAAAAAAAAGACAGGTCTTACTCATGCAGCTTGTGCTTTGACCAAAATCGTGCAAGCAAGTTTAGGCTAGTATATAGCCTCTAGTACCTTGAAATGAGATATGCATTATATAAAACTTTCATTTCCAAATACATGTATGAATGTAACATAAGGAAGACTTACCATTGACAGCTTTTTCATAATTTTTCCCCAGGTTTATTAAGTTCCTTAGCCCCGGATTGAACTGTTCCATAACATTCTAATGAAAAGAAAAGTCATGTTATAAAAAAAAGAAAAGTCAGCAATACTGATATTTCAGATGCATGATACTGATCTTTAAAAGCTGCCTTGTGGATGTTTGAACGCTGTACTGGATTTCTTTGAAGGTGAGCATGGGATTAACGTGTGTGTTTAGGGGAGAGGTGGGGTGGGATGAAGGGGAGAGGAGGTGGAAGGAAAATTATCCTCTGCCCTGTGTGGGCAGAACACATCCTATTTCAGTGGAGTACTATCTGCTGAAAACCTGATGCATCTCAAGGTCATCTTCAGCCTCAGAAATAATCATCGTATATATTTAAGACCAGGAGTCACAGATATGGATATGGAGGGAGTAGGGAGAGTTAGGAATGAAGAGATCTCTTTTCTCCAGTGCTACCTGCATATTTCATATCAAGGTGAGAGAATGCAGGCTCTTGTTCAGAATTTGGATTCTCCTTCAAAAAAAAAAGTTTCAGTTTTTGGACTGGCAGCTGCTTAGGAAGATTTAACACTTTCCAATTAAGAACAATAAAGTAATGGGCTTGGTAAAAGGTCATTTTTGTGCATCACTGCCTGGTATTTAGAGAGAGTAGTTCAGGCAATGCTTTAACTTGAAAATTCAGTGTGTTTGATAGCAAATAATTACTCAAACAAGAAAATAAAAAAAGAAAATGAAAGCTACCAACCTCATTCAAGGAAAGAGAGGGGGAAAGCTGTACCTGCTACTCTTGGTTGTTAATACACTTATTTTAGCTACAGCAAACAACATTTGAAATCCAGCAACTCAACACAACTGCCTTTACAACCAGTAAAGTCTGTAAACAGATGAAGTGGCAAGGATGGTGAAAAGTAGCTATATAATGCAAGAAAATAGCAACACCATTAAAAAACCCACAAAAACAAAAATCTCCACCTCATGTAGAAGTAAATCCAAGACAAATTATGGTATAGGTTTTCAGTTTCTAAGTTGAGACATGCTAGAGGGCTGAATTTTAGAAAGTGCAATGGCAGTTCCCTGAAAATAAGGTTGATTAATGGGACTCAGAATTGGATATCAAAATTGAGGCATTTAATCACTTACAGAAGTTGGCTTTAGTGGATAGTTGCTTCAATGATAGGCCTAGGAATTTATATCGTTATGGTTTTGCTGTAATTCATACTGACATCACTTATATTTAAAAAGGAGAAAGAGATTTCACGGTAAACTTCCACTGATGCAAATTGAGAGTTATGCCTGAGCAAGTAGCATAGGATCTATTTATGTTATCCTGAGAGGGGTCATTTTAAAGACTAGCTACAACAGTACACCTCCAATTTCTTTTCCTTCATGTAAAAAATAAAAATAAAAATATAACAGTGAGCCACCGGTAAAGGTTTTTGCAATGCTTAGAATTATAAATTTAACATAGTTTTACATACAGTGCAGTCCTTACTGTGCTACTGCAGTGTTAAATCTCAAATGTCATTGGCAAGGAACAATGACATTTACTGAAACTGCATCACTGAAGAAACTGTGTCATTTTAAAATTGAACAATTTGAAAAGTTTGTGCATCTTACTGATAAGCTTCATTTTTTCCAGAAGTTCTCTGAGTTAGGTTGAACAGCAGCTGTGAGCATCAGAGTATTTTACTAATGAAGTATTTTGACTTCAATTTCTATATGCTTGCTACCAGCGTAAGTCCAGTTCTCTCCTACTTAAAAATGACCTATGTTATGACAATCGTATTTCTATACATCTTACTACAGATACAAGGAGAATAAAAATATTTTCATAAGCAAGCTATTTTATAAAGGGTTTAAAGATTCTGAAGGACTCAGAACAACATCAAAGACAAGACCTTCTAATATGCTCTAAAAACTACACTGCAAATTGCAGCCCTCAACACTGCACTGTAAAGTACTAACAAAAAAAAAGAAAAAAAACCAGGTTCGTTAAATATCTGTAAGTATGCAAACTCCCTCGTTCATTCGCTATCTTTATGGCCCAAAGCACTAGACTTTTATATATTGTTCAGTAGTTCAAGGTGTTCAAAACAGGTACCTTCTATTGGTAAGACACAAACACACACAAATACCTGAAATCTTTTACCAGTAATACTGGTACCAAACAGAAGAAATTATACATATTTTATATATACATACACCAAGAAAAGTAAAAACATTTGATCAGTTGCTTGATAAATGCTTTCAACTTTATCCGGCTGCAAATTTAAGCTCTTATCTGTCAGCAAGCCACCACATTAATACAGATTAGAAGCAACAAGACAAATAGATATTGTCTTGCTTTTCCCCTTTCCAGTAATGCGAAATAATTTTATTTAACAGACACACATACGTGCATGGGTGCACACATGCAATGATAGCATATACTCTTATCTTTGCCCCACAGACTAGGTCCAAATCTCTTATTACTAATTAATATAAGATGACGTATTGACTTGCCATTGCCTTCTTTTTAACAGGACCATGAAACTTCTTCCCTTGAGCAAGTAACATATAATCAAGAGATCTACATTTAACATTGTTAAATTTCAAACTTTTTCCAGGCATCTAACCTTCAATTTCCAGGCAATAATATTGAAAAATTTGAGATCTGACAACTACAGTGCCATTACTTTAGGACTGCCTTGACACCTTTCAGCTCGGCTTTCAAATTGAAAGGCTGAACTAGCTTCACTGTTCGTCTCCTTCTGGATGGATAGGAGAAAAAAAAAAGATGGCTTTTGGCCTCTTCCATCAGCAGACTTCAGATTTTATTGATTTACCTACAGATGTTGGTAGATCGACAAGACTGGGAGTATAGTGGGTCCACTAATATACAGAAAGTTATCAAGAAGAGTTTTACTGCATCATATCTGCCCAGTAAGGCTGCTGAGAAAGTGAATAAGAGAATTTATGTGGCAGTGCTGTAACACAAGCAATTCATAGATATTTTCTCCACGAGACTTAGAAGTCTCTGGAAGTCTCCCACCCCATGCAGTGCCACAGAAGATGATTGTTAGCAGAGGTACTATGCACAGTTTTTAGATCTGAAGGTCCAAGTATCCCCCTTGGAAAGCCCAGTTCTTGGGAATTTGCTTTTCTGGTTCAACTAATAGCTGACCTTCAAGGTACAGTAGGTCATCTGTTTTCCTCAGGTTTTTACCAGACTTGGGAACTTAACTGCCTGCACTCATCATCGTTGCAGATACCTGGCCCTTCTGCAGTGAGGGAAGCACAGATGCAGCAGAGGGGAATGCTGCAGAGGGGACGAGTGACATGGCACAGTTCTGTGCCACTGAATCCCCCATGCTGGATTGGACCTTTGCAGGCTGAATCTGGCTTAGGCTACATCCCTGCTAGAGGAAAAAAGATACAAGCTTTAATTTTTGTAGACTATATCATAATGGCAACTCATTAATTTATAAATGTCCCATATTGTTAATCTAAAGTAATGTGAAAATGAATGTGACAAAAGTCAGTTGTAACTTTTCATTAGAGTTTTATTTAAAAGTTAGTTATGACTTTGTTTGAATTTTAACAGACTGTGTTTTGATTAGAACAGGCACACACAAAGTAATCTCAGAAAAAAATCTCTCTTAAAAACCAAGAGAACCGCTATTGGCTTTGAATGAGACCAAGGCTCCACCTTCTTAAAAAACACAGTTCAAAACATATAACAAGAAACAACCCGTGCTTTGAAGAGTTTAATCTAAAGAGGCATGGCAAACAGAGTTGGAAAGGAAACAAAGGCACAGACAAATGAAACGACTTGCCCGTAATCACACAGCACATCAGTGCTAGAGCCCGGAGCATAATATAGCTTCCCTGTCTGCCCAGTGTCCTATACTCTGGTATCACACTGCCTCTCATAAATAAAATACACAACTAGAAGAGAACAGTATATCAGATCATATAGCTTTCTGATTGTTTGGTTGAATGGAACATGGGAAAACAGACAAGAATGGTCTTTTTATGTAAAATACTTTAAAAAGCCAAGGCAACCTGCCTGACAGAGTTTAAGAGAAACAATTTGGTCATTCATGAAGCAATTAAACTGTCACATAAGAGTCTATTGAAATGTGAAATGTTTAGTATCTTCAACTTTTAAGTACGATCATTGGGAGCAAATTAGGCTGGAAACTGGAATTAAAAAGCAATGAATCTTGTACTCCCACTTGTTCTCTGTGTGTACACTCTGCAGTTTCTGCTCCTAATACAGTATAAGCAATTTTAACCTTGTACACAAATTAGGGCCATTGTTGGAGTTCTTTCCTGTAAATTCTCTGCTTTTATTTTATTCCCAAAACACACCTCCTCAGAACAATAGCTCAGCAGGTATGGACACAGCTAAACAACACACAGAAACCCTGCTGCTCTACATCCTGCAAACACTCCATTCAAAAATAATGTATAGATTACTGATCCACATCTAAATACACCGCATGTGTGTTTTTCTATGTTAAACTTTTACCTTTCCAAATTAATAGTATTCATATTACTTTGCTTACTGATATTTATTTGGGCAAAACTGAATTATACGTTAGTACAGTTTTTAATAACTTCACATTAAACTGATCACACTATTGGTTTGTATTCAGAAGGACAAAAATTGCACTTAATAAAATTTTATGGTATTCAGCATTGTTATGTTAAAAAAAAATCTTCCTGACATTTCTTTAGTTGAAATTATTTAAAGTAGGGAGAGCCCTATATAAAAAAAAAATATTTTTCTGTGCTAGTTTTTGCATGATCATACTATTGTTTCTTTAGCTTTGGAGATTCAGCTATTGGCTTCAGTGGATAAAAGATCAAGCCCTAAAAACCCATTTTATGCTGATGCAAATACACAAGTATTAGGAGAGTTACATTGGTGTAAAACAGGTTTAACAAAGTGGAAAACCAGAAACCTACTAGTGTTTATTCAAATCAGATTAGCTCTTGTGACTAATTATCTCACAGCCGACCTTTTACTGTTTAAAGGAGAAACATTTCATTCGTCAGTGTGTTTCAACAGTAAA